ACCAAGTACTTAAGTCTGTGTGTAAGATAACATTCAGAGCATACAGTAAAGCCAGAATTAAGATAAATTCTAGAAGGCTTGGATCTCAGTGTTGGGGTGGGGGTGAGAGTAAATGACTGATGCATTTAAATGTAGAACATAAGAAAATCAAAATAGCCTAACAGAGACTCCTTAGTGTTAAATTTCAAATATCAAGTAACCAAAATGAATTCATTTTAGACTTAAGTGTACAGAAAAATTACAACGGTTTTTTAAAACATGGTATGTACAACTAAACATTGAAGATGCTTATCATTTGAAGATTCTTACATATATTTATTTATTTATATACAATACATAATATAATGTATATATTTAAGTCTGCTAGTTAATGTTTTCAGGAAAGTAGTGCTGACAAGGACAAACTTCAGCAAGTGATTCTTTCTTCATGTTGTGGACTGACTATAGCATTATTACTGTCTGTTCTACTTCTGTGAATCTAAGAATCGTTAAAAAGAAAATCTAAAGGGTATTTTTCCATGTGGCATATTACTTTTTAACTTACTCTGTAAGTGGGTTTGCTTTTTATATCAGCATTTTAATACATTCTAGATTCTTGTTTAACCAAAGTCACTGAAGGAGATAGGAGACACTGGAAAAATTACAAAGGAGTCTTTCACGGCATGGGAGAGCAGTTCCCTCTAATCTTTGCTGACCCTTGTTTTTCCTAGACCTTTCTGCTATCTAGGGCACATAGACACACATCCTGTACTCTCTTTAACCCCCTGGAGTTTCCTAATTCCCTTTGCTGGAGTCTCTTCCAACACACCCCAACCCTTTATTCCTCTGAATGACCCTTATTTACTCTGGAGACTTTACTGAGGTGTCATGTGGAAGCCAAAGCCTCCTTTGTGTTTCTACAGTCCCTAGGACCACATCATTTTTGCAAGTACCAAAGTGACAGCCTTCCCTTTTCACAGATATTGATAGATACCCAACTGGGGACATTGTCTATGAGTCTCTAGCTAACAGACTTCCAAATGCCAGGATTTCCCACCTGGGGAATAAGTTTAAATCAAAAGAAGTATTGGTAGCCACATATCCTGTTCCCCACCCCCTTTCCTGCATGGAAATTCAAGAGCTTGGTTGCAAGCTCCTGCTATGAAACCATCCCCCCTACCTCATTACTCTCTTCAGACCACCCCACCCAACACACACACACACACACACACACACTTCCATGTTGTCTGTTTCCGGTGCTAGGGTCTTAAATTCTCCTCAAACAATTCTTACACCAAACTATCCATTTCAATGACCCCTTGGATCCCATATCAAGAGCCTGCAGTTCCTTGAACAGTTTATTTTTGCATGTATCAAGGTTCTTTGCAAGTCAGGGCCTATTATTTCTATATCCTTCGATTTTAGATATCTTCAATACATTCTGGATTCTGAGGATACAAGAAAGAAATCAAGCTTCAACTGCCCTCATGACCCTTATCTTATGAGGCATGAACTGACGTTAGTGATGATGACAGACTAGGAATTAGAAAGATTCCTAGTAAGGCAGAGAAGGGGAGGGGGCCACAGCTAGATACTAAAGTGGCTAATTTCCAAGATGGCCAGCTTCTTCACCACCCTCATGACTTGAGATAAAAGTTTAAAACAAAGGCTCTGCAAGACTTCTGTCTTCCACCAGCAGGCCCCCTGCTGATGGACTGACTCAACAAGTTCCAAGGGCTGCTCAGGACAAGTCACACAACAGTTCTGGGCCAATCAACCATCCTAGCTTTCTTCAAACTGACCAACCCTAAATTAGGGGAGGAAAATCTTTCAGAGACTTAAAAAACCCTGCCCTCGAGAAAAGACTAGATTTTTTTTCTTTTTGACATTCTCAGTTCCTCTTTTTCTTGCAGAGGGTCTTTTTCTCTGTGTGTCTGCTGCATATGTATGTTTCCCCATCCCCAATAAATGCACCTTTCTTCAACTGTTGATTCTGTCTGAAGTATTTGTGATTTCTCTGCTGCTAGTGAAACATAATGGTCAACCTGATTATAATACTTTAATTATGCATCATATACATGCATTTAACATGGTCATTACTTCCAACTCTGACTGCAACTGTAGCTGTTTCCTCTGTCTTTGCCTTTTCATCTAACACAACCCCTTCTCCAAACCACCAAACATAATGCATTTACAGGCCCATTTCATTCAGTGACCTTCAAAGGAAAACATTCAGGAAAATAGGACACTAGCAATTAAATCAGCCAGCGAGCAATCAAGACAGTTACTATGTCTAAATGGGATCAGTCTCTTCTTTCTAAATAAAGAAGAAAAGCATTCACCAGCATCCTGTCAACGGCCCTATTACAAATAAATTATGGTAACTGGTTTTTTCAGTAACTGGCTAGGTATATCCAACCAACTCTGAAAAATCTTCACTTGTGGAATAGATTTCTGAATAAGATACTGGTACCTTTATCATGCTCTGCTGATACTGACATATTTACCAGGAACTTCTATATTTTAAGTCATCAGACTCATCACTTTCCATGCTGCTGACTTGAAGACAGCAAAGACCTACTTCTCTAGGATAGACATCATCAACTCAGAGGGACAAATGTTTTAAAACTTTAGAGAATCTTAAAAATTTAAAGGTTTTGTGAATTCCCTGGTCTCTGGATTGCTAAGGACCTGGCTTGCTTTCTGTGAATTCTCGCAGGCACATTGCCTGATGCCCTACATAGCTCACAATCTGACGTGGTAGAAAACAGCCCCAGGATAGTTCAAAGTAATTTGCCTACTTCTAGAACCTAAGGAAGAAATCAGAGTGACATCTCAGCTTCTAGGAACAAACTGTGGTGGCAGGGGCCTCCTGCCAGTGCCCCTGTATCTTCCATTAAGATAGAAAATAATTATTGGCTAAAAAGCCCAGTATTTCTTAAATACTGACCTGAACAGTCCTGGGAGTCATCAAACTCCACGTTGAAGGAATGGCCATTGTTGAGAATCTTTTTGGAAGTAGCTTGGTCATAACATACACTCAGAGGCTGAAGCGCAGGGTCATACTGGGCAGTCTTGGTATCAATGTCCACCGGGGACTGCCGCTCTCCATTGGCAATGGGGAAGTCCTTGTGCCAATGCTCTGGTCCTGGAGGTGAAAAGACATCTGTGAAGTCATCAGTGTGGGAAAGGAGACACTAGCCACTAGAAGCCACCAGTAACTCTAGAGAAAGTCTGCTCAGTTTCAGATTTGGAGGTGATACTTAATAGCACTGTAACGTTTACAAAAACAAAACGTGCCTTGGTCTCCTTATTTGCAACATCAGGTAATAATATTTCAAGTCTTCCTAATAAAGGTCAGTGTGAAAATTAGAATCCATATACATCTATTTTTTTTAACAGAAACATAAACAATTTTGAGGTCTTCTTACCCAAATTCAATAACTAAAACTGGACAGAACTACTGGTAGGGATGTGGTCTCGCTGGGGATACACATCCTCTTGCGATTGGGTTTGGGATATGTATTCTCCCTACGACATTATAACAGATCCGGATGCCTCCTGCTGTCACACTAGGTGACAGTACAGACGATATAGACCACGCTCAGGCAGTCACCTCCTTTAGAACTCTTCCTCCTAGGGAGCCCACACACTTCAACCGCGAGCCAGGTGCGCCTTCCTTTCCCCTCAGCTGGCCTCAGGCACCTAGGTCTGTGACCAGGAAGACGTCCGGTTATCGACGACACTGGAAGTTGAGAAATGAATGGAAAACTCTGGAGCCAGCGCGATTAGATTTAAACTGGCTCCAGAGGATGCCGTGACAGAGTACGCTGGGAATCTTAGCCACAGGTGCGGCAGAGGGTGATGTGAAGGGGACAAGAGCCACTTTCCCCCCGCCCCTTAATCTTCCTGTGACCTACAACTCAAATATTCGTAATAATTTTTGTGCGATTCTGCCTGGGTTTGCATACGGTGACCAGCTGTGGTCCGCATAGGTACTGTCCTCCGATCTTGCGTTGGGCTGTCCCTCCCGGACCCTGTGCGCGGCCGGGATGGCTTGAGATCAGATCCTCGACAGCGCTCCGAGTGGCGCCAAGGACATCCCAGCGCGGGGACCCTGCTGGGACCCAGGCATCCAAGCTGCGCTACGGGAGCCGCGGTGCTAGGCAGGTGCCTGAGCGGAGACCGGGAGCGCGCGGCCCGGAGCGCGCGGCCTCCGCACTCACCGTTGTTCCCGCCGTATCCCCAGTGGTGGGACATGGTCGCGCCGGTGCTTGGGGCAGAGCAGCAGTTGTCCTCTGACTAGCTGTCTTGCAGTATGTGTCGCGGGTCGCACGGTCCGGCTTTTATAGGCTCCCGCCAACTTGGTGCTTTGGGCGGCCCAGGGGAGGGACCGAGTGGACCTGAGCAAGGGGAGGAGACGGCGGAGGTGGCGGATGGAGGTGACAGGCGGAGGCCTGGGTAGCCGGGGGCTCCCGCTGCTTGGTCGGGGCGGGGCGCCCTCCGGCTTGTCTCCGCTTCAGCGTCCGACCCGCTCTGCGGCAGTCGCGCGCTCTCCACCCCTCCCGGGCGCGGCGCTGCCTCCCCGGCCGCCGGCGACCCACATCCCCGGCCCCCCACATCCCCGGCCCCACTGTGCGCACAGCCTGTGCCACCCGCCCACAGAGCTCGACTCCGCTTCGCAGAGTCGCCCGACCCCCGGAACGCGGCCCGCACGAGGCTGCCGGGTTTGACCTTGGGCGGGGAGCGTCTTGGAGGCGCCCTGAGCGGGGATCCCCGAGCCCGGAGCGGGGAGCCGGGGGCCCCCTGCTGCCCGGCTGCGGGAAGACGACCTGGCCTCCCCACCAGGGCGCCCTCCTCCAGCTTCTCACTTGCCCCGCAAATTAACCCAAGGCACCGAGCTTTCCAGTCGCGTGTTAATTTAACATGATCAACACTTCTCAAAAATCGATTTTCTTTTGGAATCGGGTTTTTAAAAAGAAAGTCTTCCAAAGGGATGAGAACTTTCCCTGCCTGGCAAAGGAATTAGCATTTGGAATGCCTAAACAAACAAAATAATTTGATCAAAATGGCTTTAAAAAAGAAAGGTAGCCCTCTGACTTTCCAGGGAACTAGGGCGTCGCAGGGACACGTTTCTCAGTGTTCCGTTTGTGCACTTATGTTTAAACATTTCCCTTCACATAACACTTTGTTTTTCCCATTCTGACTTTGAGAACATTTTCGTAGACTTCTGAATCTATTGTGCACCCGAGGCCATAGTATTTAGAATTAAAACTGAACTGGATACAGTTAGGGGTGGGGGGCGCTAGACATCACATTACCTATATATATTAAAATCTATGAGTAAATACAATGACAAATTAGCATGTGACATTTTGAGTGTTCTCGGAATCTATGTGCATTTGTTTCAGCCAATGTCACACAGAGATGGTGCATGTGTAGATCTCCTTGTTCTTATTCTAAAACTCAGAAGATTGTGTTCGTCTGTATACATGAGTCTTTAGGTTGATGTCAAGGGAAATTTTTGACAAAGGAGCATCAATCACAAATTTTAGATTTCTGGGTCATTACCAAGTGCAGTTCACAGGGTGTCCCTTCCATCTGTGACACTGGACCCGCATAAATTGCTGCGCGGCTCTCACTCATTTCCTGTGAAGCCTACTGTTTCAACACAGCCATGCACGGAACAGGAACAGATTTTGATTAAGTACCTCTCAAGACTTCAGACCCCACCAACTGAGGATGCAGCTCCTGGGAATCTTCATCATCTTGGGGACTTCTTAGTGGGAGCCAAGCCCCTGCTAGGGAGTCTCGCTTGTCTGCCTTGGGAGAGTCAAGAGAGTCTCAGGTATTGGATTTCTTACTCATTTCCTTTTCAAATTACAGCGGTGGTCGGCATTTTCTTTCTCCTAGGTTTTCCCGATGGAGATGGCTTTGCACAGTCATGTAGATCAGTCACTGTCTAACTCCGGTGTACTGCGGTCCTTCCTCCCAGGCTGCCATCATTCACTGGCTCCCAGAAACTGACACTGGGTTTTTAAAAGTAAAAACAATACTTAAGTGCTTAGATCTCCTTAGAGGGAATAAATGTACCTCCGGGGGATATGCATGTATGTATGTGTGTGTGTGTGTGTGTGTGTGTATCATGACGATCAGAAAAACCTCATTTAAAAATTACTAAAATCATGTTCCACTTATTATAATAAAAATTCTTTATCATGAATCTGAACAAAATTTTAAAACAAAATGAGAAAGCATTTGATTTACTCCCAAATACAGATAGTTAATATATGTTACAAAGAAATACATCTAATTTATGCAATAATTAATGAAAGAAGTGGGTAGTCTCATAGTGATTAATTGGAGTATTAAGGTCCTATGGAGACTGAGAGTCATCCCTTCTCAGGGCTCCTAGGGCTCTATATGTAGCCATCTCTCTACCATGGTGCAGCCATCCAAGCTAACCCCTGTCTAACCACCTGTTTGTAACCCACCTCCCCAATATGCTATTGATTGTTCATGGCGAATTGATAATAATCACACCGAGCTAGAGCTGTTGCACAAATTCAGCTAGTGAATGCACATTAATCACCTGCCACCTGAAGCCATCATCAGTAAGTTCTGACTTCAGAGTCCATCCTACATAGGAGTGTACAAAACACCATGCAACAGATGTAAAAGTAAACATCTGGGCAAAAGGGAGAGAGAGAGAGCACGCCTCCAGTTGTCTGGATTTTCCTTGTGGAGGGAATGAATAGTGTATGGGACATGAACATCCATTCTACCACACACTGAGCCGTTCAAGTGCAGAGTGTGTCATATTCTCCTGGCTAAATTTTGTCAACTTGACACAAGCTAGAGTCATCTGAGAAGAGGGAACCTCAATTGAGAAAATGCCTTCCTAAGATCCAGCTGTAGGGCATTTTCTTAATTAGTGATTGGTGGAGGAGGTGGGCTGGTAGTCCTGATTCTATAAGAAAACAGGCTGAGCAAGCCAGGGTGAGCAAGCCAGTAAGCAGCAACCCTCCATGGCCTCTACATCAGCTCCTGCCTTCAGGTTCCTGCCCTGCTTGAGTTCCTCCCTCACTGCTTTTGATGACGCACTGTTATATGGAATTGCAGGCAAAATAAACCCTTTCTTCCCCAAGTTGCTTTGAGTCATGGTGTTTCATCACAGCAAAGGTAACTCTTGGTTAAGACATATTCTTTCTCTTTATATCCTAGGTAATGGAACCCTTTACCTAGACTGAGCCCCCAGAACACATGCAGTAGCTGCTCATGTAAAGCTCTTTGAAAGTGTTTTGTGTTTTCATTAATCTAGGTGAAGACAACAGCAACTTTACTAAGAAGCCAGCTATTTAAGAATGGCATTGTATTAAAATTAGAGTGGCTTTGATCTGGGTTTATTTACTAGCTTTATGGCCTTGGGAAAATTGTTTTATATATACTCATAAACACACACACACACACACACACACACACACACACACACACAAGGTTTCACTGTGTAGCCTAAGGTTGTTATGAATTAAAATTCAGCATCTCACCTGTAAATTAAGATAATAATGATTCTCATGTCATAAGGTCATAATGAGAACTAAATGATATGTCATGTGTAAAAGGGTTTGACATTATGCCAATGATTACAGCTTATTAAATATGAGTTATCATTTTTCCTACTGTATTTCTTGAGACCCTACTAAGTGCTCAGTATTTTCCATTTACTTTTTGGGCTACATAAGGTAAATCCATTCATTTACCAAGATCTCAAATGCTACTTTGGGCTGTAGTCATGTCAACCTGATGCCAGTCCTCTTGGCGTTCGTGATGAATAAATATGGAGACAGCAGGGAACGATAAGCAAACGAAAGCTAAGTGAATTCCAACAGTGCCAATGAGTGTGAAGTTCATGACACAGAAATGAGGTAGAGTGGCACAGGAAGAGAGGCCACTTTTAGACTGAGGATCCTGGAATCCCTGCTGAAGGAAGCCCTGGAAGAGCCACTAAGGAATGACCAGAAACAGAATAGTTCAAGCAAAGGAAATAAGTATAAAGGCCTGGACAAAGAAGTTTCTAGAACAGAAAAGTTTGTAACTTTAGCATTGGGATCAAGAAAGAAAAGACAAGCAGTAGCATCAGAGCCAGGCAGGACCTACAGCCAGAGGAGCCTTATAGACCACCATACCAAGGAACCGTTTTCTATTTAAGTATACGAGGAAACCAGGGGGCAAGTGTAAGAAAGAGAATGACACAACCTATAACTAAGACAAATAGAAGTTTTGAGGCGACACATCCAACTCTTCATTTTACAGCCAAGGATCGGATGGAGGGTCTGTGTGACCCTTGCTATCCCCACCCTTGTGTTTGCCTAAGAACTACCTTCAGAAAAAGAATCCAAGTCTCTCTGATACGGAAAGCCATCTGACTCTGGCTCTGGCTTCCTTTTTGGATTTTGAGTCTCCCAGCATTCTTCTACAGGAACGAGAGCCAGGTTTTGTGGGTTTGTGCTGGGTCTCTGCGCCTTCCCAACTGTATAAACTTGTATGATCTATTCTACTCCCCAAGCTTCTGTGTTTACACATGAAATGTATTAAGCATACCTAAGGCTGATGAGTGATAAACTTCATTTATGTGGCTTAGCTGAGGCTTCCTGTGTTATTAGCTTCTCTGTCGGGGTCCTTGTTATTGTGGAGGAGAAGCGTAGATTTGTGAAATTAAATCCAACTTTCAGTGTGAGCTGAGTCCACCATCGGACTCCAGCATAGCCCTGAACTAAAATTAGGCAATCTTTCTCAACTTGCCCTGCTCCATTTGTAAACTGATGAGAGAGAACTCTAGCCACAGAATACCATTATAAGACAAAGGGTCTGGAAGATCTCAAAAGCCTGGTGTGGTTTTATGCCTGAATTAATAATATAATGGTTATTATAATATTTTCCACTGAAAAGCAATAGATTGCCTTTTCTGTGTCACTAACTTAAATGGAAAAAGAGCATTTAATTAATATGTGTGAGTTTTTACACTCTTAAAATAACTTATTAAAACTATTCATTTACCAATACAGTTCTAAAAAATAACTTACTAAAAGTAGTTATCTACCAATACAGTACCAAATTCTTCACATAAGTCTAAATTGCAGCCAGAGCACTGGATGACAGAGATAAGTTTCTTGACCCCAGGCCACTAAGCTAGCAAGCATTAGAGCCAGGTGTGAATCAAACTGGCAAATCCAGTTTGAACCCTCAGCGACCTGTCCTTTGGCCTGCTAAGAGCCAATGAATTCCTCCTTGTCAAGGACTTGCTCCATGGTCCTGGAATAACAATGTGTTAAGATTATGTGTGCAGCCCTACTCTGGGAAGCCAAGTTATGTCAACACGCCAAGCACTTTTGGAACATCCTGCCAAAGTCCCTCTAACTACAGTTTGGGTAAGAGATAACACTAACTTTACATCTACAAACAGTTGAATTTAACTGCCCTTAGCCAGCTGTTTTCTAGATTTTAAAAAATGTAATACCTACATTTCTAAATTTAAAGATTTTTTAAAATGTCTTTGTTTTTTCAGAATACCTGGTAATATTTAACTCCTGTAAGAACTAAATCCATCCAGAGTAGTCAATGAAATCAAGTATATTGAGTTTCCATTTTAAGCAGAACTGAGCTGAAATATCAAATGAGAAAATTATACTCAAGTGTGCAAATTACACCTTTTTAATGTTAGGTGTTTCAGAGCAGCTGCCACATTTACCACACACAATGCTCCAATAAAAATAAAAGCCCCCTTCTCCTTAGAACATCGGTTCTCAACTGATTTGCCCTATGGGGAATATTGATCATCTCTGGAGTGATGTCTGGTTTTCCCAGCTTGGGAGATATGGGTGTTCTGTGGCTGGCATCTATGGACAAATGTCAAAGATAACCTATATATGCCACAGTGTACAGGAAAGACCCTGGAGACTATTCAACTCCTAATGTTACCTACCTAGCAGAAATTTCCTTACTCCTGGTTTCATTGGCTTCTGTTACCCATGGTCAGCCATATATAGGAATTAGTAAATGGGAAATTCCAGAAATAAACAATTTATAAGATTTTTATCATCCACCATTCTCATGAAATCCAACAATGTTCTGCCTCATCCCACTCAGGACATGAACCATCCTTTGACCAGAATAGCCATGCTGTAAACACTACCTGCCAATAGCAATTTAGTAGACATGTTGATTAGCAGACTGACTGCCCAGGTATCATGGAATTTTTTTCTAACAAAAACTGTTTTAATTAATGACGACCCAAAGCACAAAAGTAGTAGCCAGGGTATGAAATATTGGAGGACAATTAACTCTGGAACTGTGCATCAAAGCTGCAGAGCATCTGGGGATAAGAATGGAATATCTGTGGTTTGGTACTATCTAGATTTTGAAGTAGGACCAGGAGTCTTGGGCTGTATCTCCTCACATATGAGAAACCCCACCAGACCAGGCTGTGAAATTCTGCGATAAGATTATCTACATGGTTAATGGCTGAGGTAGAGCTTAGGGGCAGAGTGTAGGCCTAGCATGTGCAAAGTCGTGGGTTCATTTGCACACACACACTATATATACTATACTATATACACATATATATGGTAATTCTTTTCTTAAAGGTCTGGAAAACAATTAGGAAAATTATGTTTGTATTCAAAAACCTCTGAGACCTAAGACAGTGAGGCATTCATAATATTCCCTCACTTATCTTTTGTTCACTGGATTGAGTAGGAAAGAATAGAACTCTAGCACTGCACCTTGGGAAATTGTCAGTTTACGCTGCTTGAATGCACACCTAGTCCTGTGCAGATCTGAACAGCTTGT